ATCCCATGACCCTGGGATCATGACCTGAGCTGAAACCAAGAGTCAGAGGCTTAACCGACTGAGTCACCCAGGTGCATCATATATTACCTTGTAATTTCTGACTGTTGGCCTTAATTCTGCCTTTTGGAGCCCCACAGAATGATCCCCCCCCACCCCCTCCCCCCCGCCTCCTCACAATATCCCTTTTAATAGTTTCTAAAAATAACTGGTATATTTTCACTATGACTCCTCTTCTCTGGCCCAAATCATCCACTGCCCTTACCACTCTTACTACAATATGGTTTCAAAACCAGTCATTCTCAACCTGGGGCAAATTTGACTCCCAAGGTACATGTGACGCTGTCAGGAGACATTTTTTAGCTGTTAAAACTAGTAGGGAGTGTTACTGACAACAATGGGCTGTGGCCTGGGATGTTGCTAAGAATCCTACAAGGCACAGGACAGCCCTCACAACAAAGAATTATCTGGCCCAAAAGGTCTAAAGTACCAAGGCTAAGAAACCTGCTCTAGAAATATTATCCAGGTCATTTTCCTCCGCGTATGCTATGGCTTGTCATATAAAGTATAGTGCTCAGAACCCAACACGCAGTACCTATAGATATAGGACCTAACAGAGCACGGAACATGGGGGATCCTTTCTCACTGTAACAAAAGGATCAACTGTAGCAGCTTGAAGCACCCACAACATATGCCTCTTCTCCTCCAGTCGGTTGTCAGGGAAAAGCTTTGAGCCCTGTTGAACAAACTGGCCTCAAGCCAATGACTAAGAAACAAAAAAAAGACATAAAAACATGAACGCAAATCTAGAAGGAGGTAGTGTTCCCTCCAAGCATTTCCACAATCTTTTCAAAATGAAAAATTAAATTAAATTTATTTCAATTTTCCCTACAGACATAATTATAGATCTCTACTAAATTTTTGTCACCTGAAATTATGCTAAAATGCCTTTTAAAATTTTCATCCAGGCCACTCCCAAAAACATCAGACAGGACAGACTAATGTTGATCCATTTCTTAACACTTTTTGGGTAAGGCTGTGTTGACCAGTCCACATAACTGTAGCTTACATTTATTTACTTGGTTAAGAAAACACCAGGTCTACAAAACCAGGTCTTTGTTTTACTACAAAGTCCTATCAAACCTTCAAGAAATGGTTAATTCCTGTCGGTTAATTCCTGTTTTATTCAAACTGTTCTAGAAAATGGGGGTGGGGGTGAAGATGGAGGCACACTTCAGCTTATTTTATAAAGCTAGTATAATCCTAAAACCAAAACCTTTCAAATACGGTACATGAAGAGAAAATCATGGGAAAAAAATCTCATTAATGAACACAGATGCAAAAGTGCTTTAAAAATTACTAAGCTGAATCTAGCTTTGAATTTTACATTTTATAAAGTGACTGAGTTTTGGTTATTGCAGGAATGTAGGATGTTTTAACAGAAAATCTATTAATGTAACTCACTACGTTAATAGGTTGATGAGGTGGGAAGGAGTCAGGAATGGACCACAAGCACACAGAGAAAAGTTCTTTTTCTTGAGCAGCTTTTTCTGTGTAATAAAAACCACAAAATTTCTGTGACGTAAAATAAGCATTTTTAAAAAAATATATATACGTCTTGGGGTAAGCTAGGGTCAGCTATTTGAGGCTGGGCACAGCTGGGCACCTCAGCTTTAAACTGCAGGTCTGTGTATCAGCTGGGTGACTATATCCACATGACTCTCATTATTCTTAGACCAGCTAGCTAGCTGTTGCACGTTCACCTCATGGCAGTACAGAGTATTGAGAGGGTGCACTCAACAAGACAAAGACGCTCCAAGCCCCTGCTTGCATAATGTCTGCCATTATCCTATTGGCCAAAGCAACCTGTGTGGCTGAGTTCAAAGTCAAGGAATGGGAAAGTATACTCTGCCTTTTATGGCACAGATACGAAGAGTGAAGAATTGAGGCCAAAGACTTAATATATCACAGGTCATGTGAATATTTTATTCCTTTTAATGGACAAATATGATATATATGTATACATATACCACTTGGCCCCAGGTTTGTATGTGTGTGTGTGTGTATAAGAAATTTGTTATGTACAAACTATTTTTATAATAACAATTAAATTCACACATTAAGTACACGTTGGGACCTTTCTTATTGATTACCTTTATAATCTGATCCAAAAAGGAAATGTCAGTTATAATTTCAGCAGGAATTGTACTTCACTTCTTTCATCTTTACTTTCTATTATTCTTTCAACCTTTTCCAAAAAACAATTTAAAGAGGTTTACAAAGCTCTGAGACAAAATCAACGTATGATAAATCAGAAAACAAGGCAAAGGGAAAATAAGGTTACCGAAGCAAGCTGGGCCTGGAATGGCATTAGTACTTGGCTGGATAGTCTCCATTTGCTCCTGATCCTTTTTCCCTCCTTCCCTACCTGGCCTGTCCTCCTTGAAGCACTCCCCTTTCTTGGGCTTTTCCTATAGTACACGTCTCAAGGTGTCTGATGACCACTGTGTCCTCTTGCTGCTTGAAGCCTAGAGGCTGGTAGCACTTTCTGTGAACCATCCCTGACTGGCTCCCTTAATCCTGTCACACCTTGGTAATAACTCCTTCATGAAACTCTCCTTACTTAATCTGTTTGGAAGTGTTATTCTTCCTGCCAGGGACCCTGATTACAAGAACCCACAAATTACATGACTTAAGTGTAAATACCCACTAGAAGTAGATCATAAATAGAGCTCTAAGGTCTCAGTGTGATTATCTAGTGGAAAACACAATCAATAAAAGAACCTCCAGTCCCTTGAGAGAAGCAGACGTACTCCAGACACCAAGATGGGCAAGAAATTTTCTCTGTGGTTTTTCTATCAAAGGTCATTGTGTTAATAATGACCCCATTCTTTTCTGTCTTACAAACCATCTCTATTCAGTGCTCAGTTCTCCAATATCTTTCCTCCTTACCCACCTTCACCTTTTATTGATCTCTTCTGGTTTTATGGCTTTAAATATCAGACATGTAGATGATTCCCAAAATGTATCTCCAGTCCTAACTTTTCCCTGAACTCATTTTCACCACCCAATTGCCTACATTGGATATTCAACAAGCATCTTGGCCTGTCAAAAACAAAGCTCTCCATGTTCATTCCATACTCCTCCCTTCCTAGTCTTCCCTCATTTCAGTAGAAGGTCCCAGCACCATTCACTTGGTTGCTCAGGGTTATGTGTTTGGGAGGGAGAGAGGATGGCAGAAATCTATCACGTTTGATTCCTTTTTTCCACATTCCACATCCAATCCATCCACACATAATGTGGCTCCCATATTCAAAATATATTCAGAATCTGACCACCCCATCACCACGACTATAGCCCAAACAGTCAGTCTTTCTTGTCCTGCTGTGCTCCTAACTAGTTTTCCTTCTACTTTTGCACTCTTCCAGGACCCCATCTGAAGCAGCATGCCTACTCCTTTAAAAATATGTCGTATCACATTGTCTCCTTTTCAAAATCTTCCAATCACTACCATCACACTCAGAATGCAATACAAAGTCTTCATGTTGGCCTACAAGGCCTCACATACGTATATCTGTGAATCTTTATTTTCTACCATTCTTTTCTTCCCTCTGCACTGGTTACGCTGGCCTCCCTGACATTCTATGAGCAAGTCAAGCATATACTTAAGGTCTCAGAACCTTTGCACTTGCTGTTTCCTATAGTTGAAACATTCTTTTCTTTTCTAGATACCTGCATGCCTCACTCATTTCACTTAGGTCTCTGTGGAAATGGTTAATTCCTCAGAGAAGTCTTCCCTGGTCATCAGCTCTAAATAGTCCCACCATCTGTATTCCTTACCTTATGATTCTTCATAACACTAATCAGTATCTGACATTACATTAAATATAAATATGTAGTTATGCATTTGTCTATTAGGAATGAAAGTGCTAATAAAAAGGGTGTATTTCATTCATTCCAGCATCTTCAGTATCAGGTACAACACTTGACAAACAGCATGGTCTTGACAAATATTTGTTAAATGAATGAGACTCCATGCTACTTCGTCTAGTTTCTTGACTCAAAAATTCAGCAATATCCAAGAAATACATGAGTCTCAATTATGTGAGTGGCACTTTGCTAGATGCTTAAGAGCTTTAAAAATGTAACAGACACCTGAATCTTTTGGATGACTGGTGATGGGAGAGGGCATAAGGGCGCCCTCAGTGCACCAGAAACATTCTTTTTCCAAACAGCACAATACGTATAGAGGTGTATTCATAATTACAAACCTATTTAGCACTACACTTAAGATTTGTGTATTTTAAGTTGCACCTCAATAAGTGTTTTTTCTTTTCCCCCTTAAGTTTCTGACCTATGTAGGCACATGGAGAGGTAGTCTGCGTTGTGGCAAAAGCAATGACAAAGGTCTGCATGGCCTGCCTGTCTGCTATGTGAGCGGTGAGCTCGAAGCGCTAAAAAGTCGGTGTACTTGTTAAAAGGAAAGGGGGGGGGACTCTCCTGTGTTCCTACTGACACCAGAACCTCCCAGATATGATGGTCCTTCTCTAATGCCCTGGGGCCACCTTTTGAAACTGGCGTGCAACCGTAGCGCCTAACTGCTAAAAGGATGTTCCACCTGAGGGGGACCAGATCCCTGAAGTGAGGTGGAGCGCTGCAGAGCTTTCCTCAGAAGAGCCCGCGGAAGAGAAGGGGACAATGGAACAGTCTTTATGTTTTACATCTTTTTAAAAGTTTTTATTTATTTAAGTAATCTCTAACTCAAGGTGGGGCTTGGAACTCCCAACCCCAAGATCAAGAGTCGCACGCTCTTCCGACTAGGCCAGCGAGGCTGCCCCTATGCTTTGGATGCTTAACCGTTTAGCCTGAGAGGCTGACACTGCGTCCTCGAGTGTTCAGAGGGTACTATTAGCTGTACGTTCAGCCCAATGAACGTCACAAACACTGGTGCCCGCCGAGCCCCGGGCCCCCAGCACGCACGCGCGGCACAGAACCGCCGCTACGCAGGCGCACTGCGGCCGGGCGACGGGCAAAGCGGAGGGCAGGAGCCCGGCCGGCCGGTGCGCGCGCCAAGGCGCGGGGGAGGGGGGCGCGCGCCATGGAACAGCGGTTAGCGGAGTTCCGGGAGGCCAGGAAACGGGCCGGACTGGCGGCCGAACCCGGCCAGAATGCACAAACCTCAGGGAAGAAGGCGGAAGCAGCTGCGACTCCAAAGGCAGCTCCAGGCTGGCTAAAACGGTTCCTGATGTGGAAACCGAGGCCTGCGAATAACCGGGCCCACCCCGGCCTCGCTCAGGTGAGAGGAAGGCCTCGCCCTCCCGGGACCTGGCTTCAGGGACGCCGTCGTGGCCTCCCAGGAACCTCCGGCCGAGGCCACGCCCATGGCCCGCCCACCGCGTGTTGGCCTGCAGGCCACGCCCCCACCGAGGAGCGGTTCCCGCCCACCAAGCGCGAACCGCCTCCCTCCCTCTGGTTCCCACCTTCGCTGGCCGGGAGGGGCTGCTGGCGCCTCCCGCCTGCGGGGGGCCTGAGGCTGGCGTCTCCGGCCACACGTGTCAGCACTGATCCGTGGCTTTGACATTTTCTTTCCAGCCCACGGCCCACGCAGATCCTGATTCCTGTCGGGAAGCGAGGGTCTAGGGCCCTGGAAAAAAACACCTCTGCCCTTGAGTTATTCACAGCGAGTTGAGTTATTGTGATGCCGGAAACTTATCTACCACCGCCTTCAGTTGCAGCCCTCCGCTAATGGAGGGTAAAAGGTCTAATTGGATACTGCTAAGAAGTGGCAGTAATGAAGGCTTCCTTTGATTTTGCACCTGGGACACAAGCAGCCCATAGCCCAGATAGTCTGCGCTTTAGAGATAGCATTTGAATACAAACTTGCAAAAGTGTGGTCTGTGTAACTGCCAGAGGCCGCAGATGCTTGTGCACCTCTATTGAACTAGGGAAACCTACTCAAGTTCAATAGTGAATATTGAGGTGAAAACATTATTTACATTAGTATGATAGCCTTTCCACCCTTTAATTCTTTAGTATTCTCTTAATGTTCAGATGAACTCGGTTCACATCTTGTATTTTCATTTCGTTTTCACTCAGGAGTAGAGTGGCAAGGTGCCTTGTGCGTGGATTAGACTTTCTATGTTGGAATACAGGACACAACATCGAGGGAAAATAATGCCTTGAGACAATCTGTGACAAAGCCTTTGTATCTCAAAAATGTAATAAGAGCCAAAAAATTCCTTTTGAAAATGAAAATCTCTTGGAGCAGAAGTGTACCTTACTCCTCTTAAAATTATTTCTCTTAGTTCATTTATTATTGTACAACATCTGGGTTTAGGCAAGTTTTTTAAACCAAGGAGAACTTGTTACTCAGTTTTGATTAGATACTATTCTCCATGGCACAGAGGGTCCCATCAGACTCGCAGAAAGAGAGTGCCGCAGGGTTCAAACAATCCATTTCCTTGCGTGCGGTTTGTCTCAAGATAAGTTCATTGTTGAGTAGAACTCGCTGAGCACAATTGGTTAAGATTTTAGAATCTACTTCCCTTGCCCTTTTTCCTCTCTACAGTGAAAAAACAATGTCTGGCCCACACAATGAGTTTTTGCCTGCGTGTCTCATTTCCAAAGGAGTATGAGATCATTGAATTGGACCCAGAGAAGCTGAACTTGGAGAAAGTTTCCATTATTAAAAACCCAAATGCTGATGCCCCGACAAAAGGAAGACAGGAAATGCTGGACCTCCAGTCGGCTCTTAGTAATTACTCTGTTTTTCATAAGGGACTCTGTCTTAAGCTCATTTTCATTGGCTCAGTTATCATTCCTGGGTTTGTTCTGGTGTGAAAATTCTCATTAAATTGTTTTTTTTTTCTTTCTCCCAATTTATAATTCATCTCTCTTAATCATTTTGGAGACACACAGTGGCTTGTCAGAAAGTTCTCTAGCCTTCTATTTGTAATTGCTTCTTGGTTGTCATTGATAAGGAAGCATCCATATCCTCCTTCCTCCACTCTCGAATTTAGCTTGAAGAAAGCAGTCCTCGAGATCAAATATTTCTTTCTGTGACAAGCTTTACCACTTGTGACTCTTTTCAAGCCCGCAGAAACCCCCTTCTCCCTCCTCAGGCATACCCTGCAGCAGTCCCCATGCAGGGTCTTAGCCCCAAGGTGTCCACACTCACCCTGTGACTCCTCCCCTCCAGCCCTTGGCCCAGGCCGACCCACTCCTCAAATGCACCTGGAGTCACCTGGCTAAGCACGGCCTTTGCATCATTCCCTCAAACCCAAGAATCACCTTTTAATTTCTTCCCTTTCCTTGCTGTCATTCATTCATTCAGCAAAATTATATCCTGTGCCCACTCTGTTCCACCTACTGTCCCGAATCCGGGAAACAGTGTGATAAAGGCAGATGAAGCCCTGTTCTCACAGAAGTTGCATTTGGGGCAGCAGAAAATAAACAAAAGAGCTGAATAATGGATGCTATGAAAGGGGGAAGAACAGGATGCTGTGATAGTGAACTGGGGGTGAGAGGGGCAGAGTGCTACTTTAAATTGAGTGGGCAGGGAGGACCTCACTGAGGAGGTGGCATTTCATATGAAGGAGCCACTCTTCAAGAAACCCGGGACAAGGCCAAGGGCCCATGTGGTCACATTTTTGCTGAGATTTGTAGAAGAGGGAGCTATCCAGGTGATGTGAGGGGAAGGGGGCATTCCTCTCAAAAGGAATCATATGTGCAAAGGCCCTGAGGTGGGAAGCAGCTTGGGATTTTGGGAAATGGAAGTACTTGTCCTAAGCTATGCCTCTGTGTGCTGTGATGACCACAGACACTTCCATACACAACTTTTATAGCAGGAGCCACGCTGGTACTAAAGCAAATGCCAAAGGAGGTAGAGGAATTTCTATATCTCTCCTCTTGTTTGTTCCCTTTGTCAGTTGGTTTGGCCCCTTCCCCCATCTCCTAGTTCTCTAACCCTTCCCTTTACCATTCCCCATAAAGGCCCCTAATTAAGTACAAAGGGCTATGGAAGGAGACCATGCTAGGATCCTATACCAGTCTCGTCTCTGCCAGTCACTAGCTGTGTGACTTTAAGGGAGTTACTTAACATCTCAGTGTTTCCTCATCAATAAATTGGGATTAGCAGTGCCTGTCTCCCAATTACAGGAGATTGGGGATCTTGAAGCACTTTGTAAACTGTGGCCATAAGCATTACTCTTTTTATACTCTCTCAATAATAAATTCAGTTTACAGTAAATGTCAAGTTGTACACATTCAAAATGTATTCTGCAATCATCAGTCGATCATTTCTTTCTGACTTCTGTGTCACCGCCCTAGTTATGCCAGGCCCTTCTCTCTCACTGGGCCTCCTGTGTTAGCTACTCACAATTTCCCTGCTTTTAGCCTTTAGCCCATTCTCTGCCTGGCGGGCAGAGTCATCTTAAATATAAATCAGATTATATTAGTTCCCTGCTGAGACTTTCAGTGATTTCCCTACTGTGCACGCTGGTCAAATCTGCAAGGGACATGTATTTACTTAACAAATGTGTGTGTCGGGAGGGGGTGTGTAGCTGATGGCATGTTCAGGGCTTTTCCAGTCTAACTTGAAAGGTAATAATTACAACGTTAACAGTAGAAAAGAAGGTCGCAGCAAAATAGAATTTCTGAAGCAGTATAAATCAGATGACCTATATTTCTTATCAAGACCAAATGATATTTGTGGTCCCCTTTTAAATGATCATGGGAGGAATGGGGAATATAATTGAAGAAATGAACCAAGTTATGCCGTGTAATGAGAACCTACATGCGGGGTGCTCTGTTTGTATCTGGAGACCCTGAAAGATAATAAATGTTGGTCCATTGGCCTCCTGGTAGCAATCTAGGGACACATGTCAACTGTATTAAAAGAAAAACACTTGGGGCGCCTGGGTGGCTCAGTCGGTTAATGTCTGACTTCGGCTCAGGTCACGAGCCCTGCATTGGGCTCTGCTCTGGCAGGTGGAGCCTGCTTGGAATTCTCTCTCTCTCTGCCACTCCCCCGCTTGCACTCTCTCTCTCAAAATAAATACATAAACTTAAAAACACAACACTTAACCAGCAAATAGTTTGATGCTCTGTGAGACAAAGAGGCAGTAAGTAATCTGACAGGCAGAGGGGGAATTCCTCCCTGATAGCTGCGGAGGTCAAGCATACACAATTCACCAGTCGCGCTGGCCTGGAAGGAACAGAGAGGAAGGTGGAATCTGTCCCAGGATACAGGTGGGCACTGTCTTTGGGTAGTCATCCCTGTTGAACTGGAGTAGAGCAGTGGATTGTATCGTACAGTTAATTTTTTATATCATTTTTTTTCAGACTGTAAGTTGTGACCCATTAATGGGTGGTGAAATCAGTTTAGAGGATCTAGTCCTGTGTTAAAAATTAATTTAAAAAAATGGAATAGAAGATGAGAATTTCATATGCGGTGAAGATATTTTGTTGATTTGTGGAACGTTTTCAGATATATATATATATATATATATATATAATATATATGTTGGGTCACAATACAAAATTTATTTCTTATTATGGGTCATACCCAAAAAAGTTTGGAAAATACTGGACTAGAGATCAAGCCTCCCTAAAGCTAGCTAAATATCTGTATCTCTCATTTGCACCCAACCCAGGGGCCTATGTACTGGCATTTCTGTCTGTTGAGTAAATGGAAGGCCTTGCTTGGATTCCAGCCCAAGAAGTTTAAATTTTAACCTGTAGGCAGTAAAATTTGTTGAAGGTTTGTGAACAAGAGGTTGGGTGTGTGTGTGTGTGTATGTTTTAGGAAGTTCCATGTAGCAGCTATACATAGGATGCTTTGGAGACTCCCAGCAGGGAGGAGGTAAGGAGTCCAATTAGGAGACACTGCCTGGGCCTGGTGGTGTGTAGGATGGTCCTGGGATGGAAAGGTTATGGCTATAATGGTGATTTATTTTTAGTTAAGTGAAAGGGATTTTTTTGTTTCCTGTTTCATATAGTCCTCATTTTAGAATCATGCCACTGACAAAACTGTAGCTCATCTAATCAAATCAATAAGCTTTGATTCTGTGTGTGAAGCATTAGGTGTGACGGCTGCATTATCACTTACCAGGGAGTTTTTGTATGGGGCACAAATTAGCTCTTATTAGTAGCAGGCAAATCTGAGGAAATGACTCCCATAAATGGGAATACACCTGAATGCTTTAAGGTTTTTATCAGGTCACAGCTCACTAAGTGCAGATCAGTTTTGATTCAGTCAGAATGGGGCATGTGAGCTCTTTGGAGATGACCGTTTTAGACAGCAGGACAAGAAAATAGAAATCAATGAGCCGGAAGCCTTCCCAGAGCAATGAGAGCTGTGTCTCCAGATTGGTTTTGATCCTCTGAGCCCCATTACCCTTTATTCTTACTTCTGTTTGTGTGTCCTAGGAAGTGGCTCATCTTGGGAGCAGCACATCACAGCCACCACGGAACATAGCCATTCCTCTGCCTTCGCCGCAGGACCAGTCTTTCCTGATCAACATCACCTTCTTGAAGGTTCTTCTCTGGTTGGTCTTGCTGGGATTGTTTGTGGAACTGGAATTTGGCCTGGCCTATTTCGTCCTGTCCTTGTTCTACTGGATGTATGTCGGGACACGTGGCCCTGAAGAGAGGAAAGAGGGAGAGAAGAGCGCCTACTCAGTATTCAACCCGGGCTGCGAAGCCATCCAGGGCACCCTGACTGCAGAGCAATTGGAACGCGAGTTACAGTTTAGACCCCTCGAGGGGAGATAGGACTGTGCCCTGCTGTCTTGCAGGTAGCCTCCTACATGGTCCCTTTAGCCTCTGGATATTGGCTTGTGGGTTTGATTTCAAGTGCCCAAGACTAAGGACAGCTTGCAGGTTACTTCTGTGGCTGTGAACTTCTACGTTCTTTCCCAGATCTTCTGCAGTTTTATCTTTGAACTTCTCTTTGGTTTTGGTGAAACCCCTTGAATGACATTCAATGTGGTTATGGTTCACTTTATAAAAAGTACGTACTCATAAAAGAGAGCTGTTTGTCTCATTATTTGAGAGAGGTGGTTTTAAAACAGTAGAAAGGGTTTAGGGAGATAACTTTAAAACACCCAGCTGTTTGAAGGAATGGTGTGTTAAAATAAGTGTTCTCTTTAAGTCTTCTCATATATGCTATAAAGCATTTTTTTTCCCTGAAAACTTTAAGTTTCAAGTTTTTGTTTTTGTTTTTTGGTTTTTTTGTTACTGTTGATGATGATGTTTGTTTTTTCATTGTTTTTCTTTCTTTTCTGCTTTAAATCTTACTTTTTTCTGTCATTAATGGTATTGAAAAATAAAATAGCTTTAAAACATCTGCTTTTCACAAGCAGATCCCCATTGCCCATCACCATCTTCCACTCTCCTCAGTTATTCTGCTCCCACTTAATGAAGGAAGATAGAGAAGACAGAGTCCTAAGTGACAGGCGTGGGGAAGTAGATTGGTAGATTTGGTAACTGGTTATTCATGATGAATTCAGCAAGAAAAAAATTTGTGAGTGTGTTCAAATGAAAGCTGTGGAAGTGGCTCTAGACTTATTGGCTGAGCAGGTTTCTTATATTCCGAAGGCTCTGGAGTAAGCAGTCCCTTTCTTTGCCTGTGGGCCTCTGGTGAGAAATTGTGTAAATAGGGTTAACCAGGCGTGATTTCAGTCATCCTTCCTCTTCTAGTACAAAGTTAGTGTTTAGGTTCATTAAAATTCAAAGCAAACCATTAAATACTTTTTTTATGGATAATACTGATGAGTAAGAGGAGTCTAGTTTTAAAGCAATAGTTTTTTCTAAAACTTAAAATTTTAAGAAATTAATGATTTCTCAGGAGGATTTCAACTTCAGAATTCAGTTATTGATTCTTGCACTCTGACAGTAATTTTACTATTTATGAGATATTCTTAAATATGGATACTTATTGCTAAATTTTTTTTTCCTTTTTGGCCTGATTTGCTTACTATATCCAAACCTTAGCTCAATTTAAATTTAACTTTTACTCATTGAGCACTAGCACCCTCACAGGCACTTGAGATATGATAATGGAAGAAGCAGACATATTCGCATTGCTCTGAGCATACGGTCTAGCTGGTAGTGGGGTTGCTGGGAGTGGGGTTGGCAGACAAAATAATAGAGGGAGATGGGGCGCCTGTCTGGCTCAGTTGGAAGAGCATGCTACTCTTGACCTTAGGGTTATGAGTTCAAGTCACACGTTGGGTATAGAGATTACTTAAACTAAATAAATAATTTTAAAAAATAATAAAATGAGGTAAGTTTCAGTTTTAGGAGGAATACAGAGGGGATGTTCTCATGAATCACACTTTGTAGCCAAACCCATGTGTTCCAGCCCTTACTGAAAGTTCTTCCGGTCTGTGGAGCATCTCTCTTTGGCCCTTGTTGACTGGGAGTCTGGCTCTCTCAGAAGCCTCACTTGAACAGAAATTCCCTTTAGCTCATGAAGAAGTACTTTCATTTTTTTTAATTAAAAAAATTTTATTTTTATTTTTTTGAGAGACAGAGCATGGATGGGGCAGGGGCAGAGAAAGAGGGAGACACAGAATCTGAAGCAGGTTCCAGGCTTGACACTGTCAGCACAGAGCCCAACGCAGTGCTAGAACTCACAGATCAAACCATGAGATCATGAGCTGAGCTGAAGCCAGACACTTAACTGACTGAGCCGCCCAAGTGCCCCACAAAAAGTATTTTCTTCCAGGACTTCTGTCTCAGCTGGGCCTCCAGAAAGTGTGGGAAACCGCTGAATCCCTTTTAAACAGGCAAGATTTGATCATATTTCAGATACATGCTTTTGTTTCCTGATTTATTTTCTTCAGGCTTTCTTCATTTCCCTTGATATTTTACTTGGGCTTTGACATTTCATAAAAGCCAAATACAAGGAAGAAATAACCCTGATCAGAGACTCACTACAATGCCCCGCTCAATAAGCATTGTTCTAGGAAAGAATTCTCATTTAACAAGTGTGTAATCCAGGGGCGCCTGGGTGGCTCAGTCGGCTGAGCGTCCAATTTTGGCTGAGGTCATGAACTTACAGATCATGAGTTTGAACCCTGTGTCGGGCTCTGTGCTGACAGCTCAGAGCCTGGAGCCTGCTTTGGATTCTGTGTCTCCCTCTCTCTCTGTTGCTCCCCTGCTTGCACTCTGTCTGTCTGTCTGTCTCTCTCAAAGCTAAATAAAAATTTTTAAAAATGTTTAAAAATGTGTAATTCAAACTTTTACTTAAACAAAGCACCTGTAACTCCAAATTAGGAACATATGACCCAATTAGCAATCTCACCAAAGCAGAGACACTGCTTAAGCATAGAAGAAACTCAGCTTCAGAGTGGACCCCACTAACATTCTTTAAAAACGTTCCTGTTTATAATGAGGTGGAGCTTGATAGCCTGAAGCCCATCTTCCGTGAGATTTTCTGTGCACGATCTGTCACCTCTCCTTGCTCACCTCTCACCAAAGGTTGCATGTAATGACAGCATTAACTTCTAGGAAAAGTGGGGTGTGAGCCAATTAAATGCATGGCCGGGGAGAAAGGAAAGGACAGTATGTATTTGCTGTTCTTATCAGACCATTAAGCTTTAGGTGCAGTCTTGATTTCCTGAATTTAGAAAGGCCTATTGATCTCAGAATTTCCACTCAGGGCCTGACCATTAGCTCAGCAAGCAGCTTCCATTAAAGGCTGCTTCTGTCGCCAGGGAACTTGAAATCCCAGAGATGCATTCAGTCCCTATGATTGCTGTGTGCACTGTGCACAGGTGAGGTCATTTCTGTCCGAATCTTGCAAGAAAATTGGTTTTTGCTTCTATTCACATTGTCCCATCTTGTCTATTCACAGAGACTGTTAAATGAACCTCTACTTAAAGGGCTGGAATGGACCCCAAAATGCCATCAAATGCATCCTCCTTGCCTTGGGCAAGGGCCGCATTTATTCCTGATCAAATATTTTTTTTTCTGGTGACCCTAAAGAAGAAGAATCTGAGTACAAGATTTAGGCACTTCTTAGGGAATTTTTTGCTGAAAGAACTTGAGCCACCCCCAGTGCCGCCCCAAGGTTATTTCTTACCTAATTTCAGGGGACATGGAGCATCCTCCAGACTGATGAACTGTTACTCTGTCCTTGCTCAGTTGTCTCTGTTCTTCAGGCTAAATCCACTGCATTGTACCTCTGGGACAATCACTTTGAAGCTAGCCCTGACACACCCTGAGGGTTCCAGGTCAGGGCAGAGGTGAATGTCACAGTTGGTGGGTACAATGACTTTTCTCAAAATCTCTGGAGTTTCACCAGTGATGATCTAGGCATATGTATTTTGTGCTATTAGGCTTGTCCTTTGAGTCTGGGAGGTCTTTGGCATTTGCCTTTTGACCGATCTCTTCATTAAGGCTCCTAAGCTCTGTGCTGAAATCAAAAGAATAAAAAATAAAGGAAGTTACACAATGAGAATGAGAACCAATGATTCTCATCTGGACAGAAGAAAGTGAAATTTGTGTGTTTTGTTCCCTGCCACTCCCACTGTTAACCATATTTGTATTTAGGCTTGGCGCTGCTGAAGAGCCCATAAGTGAGCTTGGCAGTCAATCCACCCTAAGAGCCAGGATACCTGGTGGGGCTGGGATGCCATGGAGCCTCTTGCCACCAGGGGGTAGCATAGAGCTGCTCCTATATATCCTGGTCCCTTCTCCCCACACTTGGTAACTTATGTAAGGTAGAAAACCCACCAGGATGTTTATCTGAACCATTTGTGCTGCTTTTTCAGATGTTCTTTTCACTTTAAGATTCACAAAGGAAAGGGCTCATCAAAGGGTCCTGGGAAAAGCACAGAAAGCTACCAGAAGTGATGTATACTGATATTTTAAAATAAAACAACAGCCCCCCTCCAGACTTAGCAGGCAGTATTGCACACGAAGGGGCTAGCACTGTGCTCAGAGATCTGGGGGGGGTGGGGGAGGGGGTACTAGAAACTTACACAGCTGGCAGAGAAACTTGATCCCTAAGCCAAAAGAAGTAAAATTTGAACCGTATGTTTTGGGTTTTGTCACATAATTTTATTTTGCCACATTGGAGCATTGGGCTAGATAAAGATTTGGATCTCTCAACAAGCTGAGAGAGAAGACAAAGTGCACAGAGAGCCACTTATCAGGCATTTAACATAATGTAGATGTTTATAAAGGTGTAAGTAATATGTGTGTGTTGGGGGAGGGGTGTTGGGGGAGGGGTCATCAGAAGGAGCGCTCACTTTTTATTTTTTTTTTATTTTTATTTTTTACAAATAGTTTATTGTCGGGGCGCCTGGGTGGCTTAGTCGGTTAAGCGTCCGACTTTCGCTTAGGTCATGATCTCGCGGTTCGTGGGTTCGAGCCCCGCGTCGGGCTCTGTGCTGACTGCCAGCTCAGAGCCTGGAGCCTGTTTCAGTCTGTGACTCCCTCTCTCTGACCCTCCCCTGCTCACGCTGTCTCTCTCTCTCTCCTAGAAATAAATAAAAAAAAAAAATTTAAAAAAAATTTAAAAAAAAAAAAAAAACAAATAGTTTATTGTCAAGTTGGTTTCCATATAACACCCAGTGCTCATACCCAGAAGTAGGAGCGCTCACTTTCAAATCTCAATTCTATACTATGTAGGATCATCACTTTTATATGAAAAATACTAAATTGCCTTAACAAGTCATGTTAAAATGTTTTGAAAAGTATAGACCGTGGAACACCGGCATTAGAATCTCTTGTAGTGGTATTTTTTTTTTTACGTTTGTAATTTATTTTTTTCCAGCTTCGTTGAGATATCATTGACTTATAACACTGAGTGATTTTAAAGTATACAACATGATGATCATATCTAAAACAGTATCTTCCTGGTCTAGGTAAAGGTTAAAAAACAAAACAAAAATCAAAACAAAACAAAACAAAACAACTGTTCCAAAGATACTAATAGGTATGAAGAAAATTATGCCTTGTAAAATGAAGTTTAATCATGAAACACACTAAACAGATTTCTTATTTATTTTCCAAC